AATCTTATACCTTCCCATGATCTCTGCACAATATTGTTATATTATTCCAAAAGGTTTCCCTTCTAGGCGATGGGTACATCACGTTGATCTCCAGAGGTGATCATAGTCGTATCTTTGGAGAAAGTCTTTCTTTATCTGATCCTAATCCTTCCTTTAAGACGGAATCTGGATCCATATCTAATCAGCACTGCCTAGTTTGACTGTTTGATCTAAGTTTGGTGCGTTGAGCTGGATGGACTGACTGAGAATGACCTGTCAATCACAAGGTGTGAGACCGTGAGAATCCACCTTGCCAGGCTTCAATCTATGGGTTTGTGGCCCAACTACAGTGGTACCAGACCAATCAGCATCCTTTGAGGCAGTACTGGCAGCTACTAGGATGGGTGCTTGGTGGGATGCAGATCGAAAATGCTGATCGCTCCTATAGAGGTTAGCATAGATCCTGCTAGTATCAGTTATATCAGAACTTCTTATATCAGAGTATTTCTTTTTTGGCTCCTCTGCCGACTGAGTTTCAAGACTGAACTTACATCTTTCTACAGGAGCCCAGAACAACAAACCAATATTTTATTAACCAATACTTCAATTGAATAAATAAAACCAAATTGATAGAGTTGTTTCTCCTTCACGCTTGGTTGAGTCAAGTGGTTTCTGTTGGTTGAAATGTGCAATCTCACTGCTTGATGCCACTAAATCCTACACACGAGGTCTTGGTCTTAAGTAGTTTCCTTTTAAGATCAGGCAGTGGGTGAGCTTCTGCCTTGCCTGGGTAAAACACGGTTTTGATCTGGTTATGATTTCTGCCTTCATCTTGCTATAATTATCATGACAAGAAATTAAAATCTGACGATAATTTCACCGTTGTCCTCTCAACAACAGACATATTCACAGATGGATTTCAATCTCCGTTCTCTCACTTTCTCACACTGGGAGTCTATGACATGAATATTCTACTGCTGCACTGTGTTGATCCTGAACGCTCTGCTGACTCCGTCCTCAGAGCGGTTTCTTGAAACACATTGTCACACGAACTCCGGTACACCAACACCACACTGCACACTCCTTTTCACTTTAAATTAGCACCCTGCCAACAACCTTCACACTCGGTACATAACACCTATATAGCACATCATGCATCACAGAACTGAACTCCCACACACATAGTGAACATGCGATATCCTCATTGTAGTCCCCGACACATTATCGTTTGCACAGCATAAGCTCTTGCAAACACACGCTTTTCTCACACAACAAGTCGATATGAACCAGGCTTCCTGACAACACTCACACACCACCGGTTGATGTAAACTATGACCCGCAGCAGCTGGTCCATTTGGGATTCTTCAAACTCCTCTACGAGTGTCGCTTTGACTTCCATCACCAGGCTCTTCACTGTGCTCTTATTGTGAAAGAGCAGCTTTAATCTGACTCATCAATATACATGAGTGTGGCATTATAGTAGGTTTATTGGTTTTACTAAATCTCTTTTTAATTTTCCATATTTAATTTATATATTTAACATTTGCCGTATTTTTTAATTTTAACTTTACAGCGACCACATTGTATTAATGAAAACACAAAGAAAACACAATTTAGCCGTCATAGGTGGTCTTTTATTGTTTATTAGCTCGCTTTTGTGGCTGTTCTCACAACAGATATTTTTCTATTTCGCTCTCTGGCAAATTGATTATGTACTCGCCAGGTAGTATCCTTTCCAGTTCAAGAGGTTTTGTGGACCTGTCAGACATTCAACTAATTCAAAATGGCCAACTTCCTGTTGGGTTTGGGGTATGGGTCCAAGAGGCTTTTTTTTCTTGACTGATCATGATATACATGCGTTTTGGGGCCTTGGGGGCTGATTCTTGGGGGCGTGGCTAAGCCATTTTGCCAATATATTTTTGTTACCACCACATGTTTTGGAGCATGTTAAGACTTCCCAAAATGTGATTCATTTGGTATTAAAATAATAATAATGATAGCCTGAGCAGTTTCAATAGGGCCTAAATATACAACAATATTGGACAATATTGTAGGGCTACTAATTTATCACCATTCAAACTATTACAAATTAGCATCAAAATGATAGTGAAGCTGTTATTTTAAAGGGTAGAAAAGTTGCATTTTAAAGGTTTGGAGAAGCAGTTTATGACCATACTGGATCATACGGGGACGCCGGTGGTGAAAAGTCTCCTCTTGAACCAGGTGGAGTCAGACAGTGGACTGCTGGGTAGCTCCAAGTGAATGTGATTAAGTACTAAGACGAACAGCATCTTTCAAAATAAGACAGGACTGAAGGTGTTTCCCGTTGCTGGTGTCAGCGCACTAGAGTAGACGTGTGAAACACAACTGACAGCTTGTTAGTTAACTTGATCCTCCGCGTTTCATTCAGTCTGTCAGGAAAATGACTTGGTTTGCTGTGATATCTTTATCCACAGCTTTCTGTGTGATGAATGAGGACAAATTACCTTCATGCATGACTGGCAGTTATGTCACTGCACAGAACAATTTATCCAGTCGGCCTGAAAATGTATTTATTTTGTTTCTGCGAGTCGTATTAAGTGGAGTGTACTGCACTGCTGCTGAGGTGAAAAATAACAGGCATATGAATGACAAAAATCATGTTATTTTTTTATTTTACATATGCACTTCAAATGTTATTATATTAAATACAATATACTGGCTTTAAAGCTACATTTCCTTATTAAAATGTCTATAAAAACTACACCTATTTTGTATATGTTGTTGTGTACTTTCAACTTTTTTCTACCCAAAAAGCTCGGCATGATATCATGACCTGGGACCTGTTAGCTTTAGCCACATGTTTACCATCCACTTGTTTTTTTTGTTTGTTTTTTTTAAAGTATTTTTTGGGGCTTTTATTACCTTTATGATAGAGACATCTGAAGACAGACAGGGAAGGGGGGCAGGGAGAGGGAATGACACGCAGCAAAGGGCCGCAGGTCGGATTCGAACCCTGGGCCGCTGCAGCAAGGACTCAGCTCACCTGTTTTTAGCGGTTTTAATCAGTAGGTATGTTTGCTTTGGAGAGGAGGAGACCTCTTTAACTTGGCTCCTGGTAGAAACCTCCTGAACCATGAACACTGAAGAAATCCTAACCTTTGTTGACTGACAGTCAGAAATTTAGGACCAAATTCCCGCAGTCTAAAAAACCCATCAAGAGCTCACATGTAAAGTTTCCCGTTTCACCTCCCAGACTCGTGTTTTAACGTCTTAATTGTGGAAACATTTGTAAGTGGAGGGGGGAAAGAGTGTGTGTCTGGCTCATGGTGGAGTTATAAAATCCAAACACACCACAGAGCTGCTGATCTGCAGGACTCTTGACAGCGCTGTCGGCTGAAATGATGATCACGCTAAATAGCAGTCGAGGAAGCGGCACGAGCGTCTGGTTCAAAACAGTTTAGCTGACTTTGCTAGCATTCGGGGCCGAGGAACTCTGCCCTCCTTTTCCATCAGCCCTCTCTTTATCTCTGTAAGTTTTGTAGCTGCGTGAGTTTTAGAGTCGGCTTCTCGATTCGTGATTCGAATTATCGAAGTTCGGGGCAGCAAAAGTGAGTAACACGTTGATGTCATTCAACTGTTTGCATATTTTTCTGTATTTCGGCATTTAATATCATCTGACCTCAGATTTTATTGGATTGGATGAAGGATCTTTGTCATCAGACATCTGGACCTTAAGTCATCAGAGAAACAAGCTGAGCTAATGTTAGCAGCAGCTCGGCTCAGTCCGTTATCGTGACCTTGGACCGGGTGGCTTTAGGCTCAGTCTGTTAGCCGTTATCCAGTTTTAAGCCATGTTTTTACCATTCACTTTTTAGATATTGGTGGTTTTTAAATTGTGGAAAACATTTAATAAATACAATTTTTTCCCCCCTAAATCTACGTGTACTGTTAGATACTTGACCAAAGTATGTCGGTACTAAATTTCAAGACTTTAAACCAATGAGAACAAATGTTACGCCATTTTTCCTTATCCCTCTAAATATACTCTTTGGATGCAAATGGGACTATTTTTTCTGGAGAAGCAGATTTATAACTTGGTCCTGGTGTAAAAATCTGTTCTTGTTGAGGTTAATAAATACGTGTGCAGGAATGTGAAATGTACGTGCAACAAAAAGTTTCTACCGCTTCCTCTAAAAGGTGAGAAGGTTCATTTTCTGTAAAATCACATAAATGATTAAATATGAACTGGTTCTTGTGGCAAAAGTTACGGTTTAGAGGAAAACTGTAGTAAAATGGAGGAATAAAACTTTTATTTGGAATTATTTGATGACCTGGTCTGGAGGCCTCCCAACCTCCTTGTGATGCTTTGGCGACCCCTAGTGGTCTGAGGTGTCCTAAAATGACCGCCAAACTGTGGATTGATTGAGCTACGTGACCTTTTCCTTCCCCCGGAGTCAGAGTCCTGGTTGGAGCCTCTGAGAAGCAACAGAGAGAAAAACCCTCAAGAGAGCAGATACACCTCTTTTTCCTCCTCTTCGTCATCTCCTTCTCTTACTTGCCCTCTCCTCTTCCTCCCAACACTCTCAATTTCTTCACATGCTCATCTTCTGTCTTCCTTTTTCTGTCCACTTTTTCACCTCCTCTCCTCCCTTCCTTCTTCTCCTCTTCCTTTCCTTCTGGCTTCTCCTCCTCTTCCACCTCACTCCCACCCTCTTTCTTCTCCTCTTCCTTTCCTTCTTGCTTCTTCCACCTTCCTCCCGTCTGCCTTCTTCTCCTCTTTGTCTGTCCTCTCTTTCTCCTCCCATTTCCTCCTCCCTTGTTTCAAATCGTTCTCTCTATTTCCTCCCTACTTCTTTTTCTCCATCCCTTTCCCCCCAACAACCCCCACTTCCTCTCTGTTTTCTCTCTTTCTTAAACCATTTCTCCTTCTCCCTATAACTCCCTCCCTCTTTCACCCATCCCTCCTCTCAGCTCGCCTCCCAACCTTCCATAAAGAGAGAAAAAACTCTCTCCTCCCCTGATTCTCCACTCGGCTTTTACGCGCGGTGCGTAAAGCGCTTCACTCCCGTGTCCAGAGCGCACGGACGGAGGCACCGGCGGCGGAGCGACCGGAGACCGAGCAGAAGAAGAGGAGATCGCTCGCGTTTCTGTCCTCATTCCCGCTCCTGTGGACGGTTGGTGTTTGTTAAAGCTTCAGACATTCTCGGTTCCTCGGGGCGCTTCATGGCCGAATTCACCGGCGGGTTCCGTTAATCCAAAGTGACGTGGATGCGAGCGCCACTCTGAAGCGGAACTGTGCGGTTGGTTTTCTACAAAACGGGAAACAAACATGAGACCTGGCATCCCGCGCAGATTCTTCTAAACAGAGAGAGAGAGAGAGAGAGAGGGGGGCGCGAGGAGAGGAGGTTCTGGTGGGACGGACGCGCGAGGATCCAGACGAGGATGTGGATTTAAACTCGCAACCGTGCAGCCACCGTCAGACTACAGCCTCGAGCTTGAATTCCACATCTTTTTAATGGCAACCGGGAGTCGCGCGAGCGTCTCCGTCCGGGGGTCCGGAGGATCGAACCGGGGTCTGTGAGCGCCGCCGGGACCCGGAGACACGCGGAGAGGTCAGTGTGTCACTCACTCACATCCACAAGCACGCACAAGCTCACACGTGCGCGGATACATGGTTAGGAGAGCGCACGGACCTGTCGCATGTGCAAGCACGGGCGCACGCGCATACCAGACTCACAGACACAGTGATGTACAGTGCAGCGCCGCGCGCACACACATCTGGAAAAACGCACGTGCATACAGGAAAAGATTAGCTGATTACAACCGCGTATCTACCGTTTGTTTTAGTTTTTATTGTATTTTACTGTATTTTATCATTGAAATATTTTTAATCTTGGTGGTATTCAAACTGAGGTCTGTGGACCAACGGGGGTCCTTGAGGAGGTTGTAAGGGGTCCCCAGCAACAAGAGGAATGTAATATTTGAACTTTTCTCACATTTTTTGGCAGTTGGAACAACAGGGGAAGAGATGGGCTTTCATCCTTGATGGACTGTGAATACTTAATATTTAAACCTAAAAGATAAAAACAAAAAATGACTGAGAGGCGATTCCTTAAGACAATTTAGGGCTCCTTGACTTAAAAGAGTTTAGAAACCTCTGATTTAAGATAAATATATTTTGAAGACGCAGCACAATTGCACAAAAAAACAACATAAGGACACTCAAATAGGTAAATAATAGGATAAAAATAATAAAATTGGACCATACTGATAGTGTAGTGCATTTTCACCACATCCCAGTTGGGTGTCAAATGCATTCATATTTAACACATTGATTTAGATCTGTATAATGAGGCACTGTTTGTTCTAGACTCTAGAAGCACTCTTTAGTATTTCTTTACTAGAGCACTGTGTAAAGAGATAATTTGACCCTAAAACTAAAAAAAGTCAAACTTTTTAAATTCTACAAATCTACAGCACTGACCTCCATCCTGTATCTACAGCACTGACCTCCGTCCTGTATCTACAACACTGACCTCTGTCCTGTATCTACAGCACTAAGCTCCTATGTCCATAAAACCAATGGGATATAATTTTAAAGTCATAAAACTCAAAATATATTACTATGGAGGTACCGGATTTCCATGGATACTGTTAATATGCTGTCTAATGAGCGACAAATGTGCTCTTTATCCTCTCCGTGAGATGGTAAAAAAATGCAAAAAAATGTTTTGTTCCCTCATCCTCAACTTTCGAACCAAAAAGTGTCTTTACTGTAGAGAGAGAAACTTTTTTAAAGTCCAGATCAGTTTGTGCGGCTGTAATGGAGAGTAAACATCAGGCAAGGGAATAACCTGAATGCAATTTCAATTTGGAGCTCTTATCTAGTAAAAAACAATATTAGAGCAGGCGTAATGAGGCGTAATGTTTCCCTGCGAGCTGACAGCTGGTGACCCACTTCTAATGATTTATCTCTCTGACCATGTTTTAATATCTTCGACCTTCAAATGCTGCACTTTGTTCCTAGAAATTGAATCTGTGACTCAGAGTGTCAGGAGGATTACTCATTGGATGGTATTATTCAGCATATCCAGGAATTCGTCATGTTATGCTTTTTGACCGGACAGCAGAGTTTTCTCAAGTGCTGTGGGCTCAGATTTACAAGTCCTGCTGATTCAGAAATACAAAAATAGCAGTTTTTACACATTAAGTTTGGTGTAAGTCGTTGTGATGGAGCTCTCATAAAGCAAACACCGACAGAAACCTGCAGAATATTCATGTTAGTTTTTACAGAAATTGTTTTTTGTTGTCACACTGATGAAAGTTAATGGATGGATGTGTGTGTCAAGGGATTTTAACTGAATATCTTCACCTTTTTCTCGTTTTCCTCTTCCACACCTGTACTTCAATGGTTAATTAGTTCATTGTGTGTTTAGTTTGTGTGTTTAACCTCATCTGTGTCTATTCCCCAGTCTGTAAACATGTCACAGCATGACAGTAAAAGACAGGTTAAATACACTTTCAGCAGTCAACAGTAAAACACCATCATATCTTATGGTAAAACCTTTATTTATACAGCATTTTCTATGAATTTATATAGTATAAAGTTTTCTTTTATAAATATATATATATATATATATTTTCATATGTTATTTTCATATGGAAAAACTGTATATTTTCAAGGTAAAATGTTTTATTTATGCGGTTAACACAAAATAGTCCGAAACGAGAGAAATCAGCTAAGCAGGAACACTTTTTGTAAAATATGGCGTCAGATATGCCGTTATAGTTCATGCACCTTTGCCAAAACAACTGTAAACAAAACTTCCAGTCATTAAACAACGCCTTTGTTTTATCATAACTGACTATATTGTAGGGATATTCCATATTGTATTCAACAACAGTAGAGAACAGCGGATAAACTGTACAACAAACCTAAACAGTGAAGTCAATAACTGCAGGAAGTTTGTGTAAAACCAGAGATTTTATTGAATTTTGAGCAGATTATTTACTGTGAATATTGATCACATATTTGAGTTTTCCTGATATTTTGTGGAACTTTTTATTTAATTCTCTGTCTGTATTATGTATTTTTAACAATCAAACCAAATTCAGTGTTTTCTTCTCATTGTTCTATAAGCATCTTTAGTTGTTTTAGCAGCGTACTTTTGTAAATAGGTTGTTTATCAGCGAGTGAAGGCTCTGTGAATATAACCTGGTGGTCGGGACCCACACTAGAAGTTACCAAAGCCCAGGGTGGGTCACAAAGCCTTCTGAATATACATAGTAAACTGATATCTCAGTATTTAGTTAATTTCTCTTAAAAAAATAAAATGAAAACTGAAAGAGACTAAATATTTGAATGAAAGTTCAAACCACCAAAGAGCTAATAGAGCAAAGAGAAGAAAACACTGGATCTGTCAAAAAGAAACCTATTAAGTCTGTATGATTGTTAGAAATTCATAAAATACATAATACAGACAGAAAATTTTATAAAAAGTTCTTAAAAATATCAGGAAAACTCATCTGATCAATATTCACAGAAAATAATCTGCTCAGAATTCATAAAAAATTACTTCCAGCAGTTTTTTTAAACACTGTTTGGGTTTATTGTTGTTCTTTACTGTTATGTATAATATGAAATATCCATAAAATATGTGACAAAGTCAGTTAATCAACGATAGAAAAGGGGTCCTTAAGGAAAAAGGTTGGGAACCAGTACTTATAGACAGCTATGGAAAAACTAAATCTTATCAGATGTGGATTCCTCAGACTACATCTTACCAAATAAGGGTCCATGGTGGCCTGATGTTTATCAATTTGGGCGTCCTTGACACCAAAAAGGTTGAGAACCAATCGTAGAGGAAGAAAAACTTCACTATCTTGATGAAATATTGTCAAAATACGAAGGTTCAATCAACATCTTCAAATAGTCGGTGACAAATCTTTTCTGAAAATTGTTCCTCAGATTCCAGCTGATTGTGACTCACTGAGTGTTTCCCGTAAAGTCTGAGGCAGAGAGATTTTCTCTTTCTTTCTTCTGTCTGTGAAATGCTGCTCCGATTGATCACGTCGGAATCAAGGTCGATGCGTCAGTCTGATCGATCGGTTGGTCGCTTTCATCTGCTGAGCTCGGTCTGAGTCACCCTGACGGCTTCAGTCGTTCTGCTGTGGAAAATAATCAAGACAGACCTTATTCCTCCAGCCTGCTGATCTTTTTCAGGCTGATTTTACCTGCCTGCGTCTTGAAATGACATGTTTATATAGCTGAACTAAAATGAATGTAAAGTAAGGTTTTAATTTGTTTTCATCCCAATATCGACTCACAGAACTCACTTAAAGTTCGGTAAAGATCAATGGACCTCATGATGGACCTCATGTATGGATGGTATCTAATTTTTCTCTTAGATTTGTTTGGGGCAGATATAGAGACGTGCCTGGCCACCACGGTTTGGTGTCAAATTCATTCAAATTTAACACATTAATTTAGAGACATTTGAACTCTTTCCCCTATGGAGTCCAATGGCATATTTGATTCTCGCTTTTTACACATCTTCTGAAATTCACCTTTAAAGGAACTTTCATAACACGGCATACCCACGTGTTTTATATCAAAAACCTCAGCTTTCTGTATAATAAGGCACCATTTGTCCTAGAGCAGTGTGTAAAAGAGATAATTTGACTCTAAAGCTGAAAAAGTCAAATTTTTTAAATCTAAATCTACAGCACTGACCTCTGCCCTGTATTTGTCTTGTGCAGTACAGAGCCTCAGAATGTCATTTTGTTTGGTTTTCTTTTGTTATTTCCAGGTTTTTATTTGTAATTCTTCCCCTCTTGTCTTGTCGGAATTCATTTCATGTCTTAGTCTGCTTTCCCTCCAGTTTTGATTATCTGCCCTGCCCTGATTATCTTTACCTTCTTGTTATCCTTCCCCTCACCCTATGTATTTAGTCTTTGTCTTCCATAACATTAACACTGTGTTTTAATGCATTTATGAAATTGTAGAACACATGGTTACACAAGATATACAATACAGAAAATTGTTTGCATATTTTGCTCTTACCAATAAAACACAAAACTGAAAAATTGGAAAAAGGAATCACTTTAGACCTACAATAATAAAATGTTTTAAAACTAATTGTCCTATAACTGTGTGTAAAGAGATAATTTGACCCGAAAGCTGAGTCCTATTTTCAAATTCTTAAAATGTACAGCACTGACATCTGTCCTGTATCTGTCCTGCTTGTTCAGTACAGAGCCTCACAATGTCATGATTTTGGTTTTTCTTTAGTTATTTCCTTAATAAAATTGACCATTTATGTCCATATAGTTGTTTGTCAAAGCCATAAGGAGACACTTGCCGCTCTGGAACTGCAGCTTGCCTACCTCTGCCTTAAATCTTGTTCCCATTGGGGAACGGAGTCTAAATTTTGGGTTTGTAAGAATGCATTTGTTCTATCTCCTTCGAAGTTCCTCAAAGGATAAAATTATGCCATCATATACATTTTGTTAAATTTCTGTAATATCGTGACGTTGCTAGATATTGTTTGTCGGGTGCCTGGTTAACTCAGTGGGTAGAGCTGGTAGCCCATGTACTGAGGCTGAGTCCTTG